ACATTTCAGAGCAGAAATTTGGATGGAAATTTTAAGGACAAAATTCATCAGTGTGATGAAGGGAACGTGGTTAGGCGTATGCATGAAATCAGTGAAATGCTTGCCCAGGGATACACTTAAATAGTTTTTGCTGAATTGAACATGACAGGGTATACCAGATTAGTTGTCAGAGGCTTTCCAACTTCTCCATCTTCATAGTGCTCTGTAACATGATAAAGCATCTTTAAAATTTCATTAGCAGCTCAAAGTTAAAAGGGTTGAGAGGTTAAGAAACTGTCTGCTCTTGGGATCAGGAATGCACTCATACACTGGAAAAGAGCGGTCAAATCTGTTGTTGCACTCTTGAGGGGCTCTAGAGGATTCATTTTAAGACTACATTAGAAATGATTTTTTTTTGTTGTTGTTACTGGAGAGTCACTTTTTAGCCTGACTCTGTGCTGGAATGTGCGTCAAAACCATATTTGAAACACTGGCCTGGTAAGCATCAGCACAACCTGAAGAGGAGGGCGATGTCTAAACAGGTGTGCTCTCCCTCCTTCGGAGCTTGAGCAGACCAGACACAAGCCTGGTTTGATCTGAAAGTCTTGTAGGCGTGTTAGTGCTGGACTGAAGTGAACCTCATAAATCTTACTACAAGCAGACAGGTAAGTCTTCCAGAACAGTTGTTCTTTGAGTGCTTTCATTTGGGTTTGCTGGATTTAAATTAACCTAAAAAATATTTCAGGCAGCACATTCCATGTGTATGTGGGTCAATCAGATTTTGTGTCTCTATACAACAGACTGGAGGAGCATTTCCAGTCTGAGAGCCAGAGCAAATTCTCACAAAACAGAACACCTTCAGCTGCTGTCATCTTTCAATTAAATGTGAATTGATGTGATTGTTGCCCACAATGAGGTGCTTCCCCTAGTGGCCTCCGTTGTATTGCTTTAATAGAGCAGTGAGGGTTTCTGGGGGAATGTGTTGCCTGATCTAGTCGAGAGGTGGCGTCCCTGGTGGCAGGGAGGCTGGATTAAAATGATCTCTAAGGTCCCTTCCAGCTTAGGCCATTCTATGATTCTATGAAAGATGTTTTAGTACAGATCTTGCTTTACTTTTCCTTGTCTGTTGGGCTCTGTTACTGCTGCTTTAGAAGCGTTGTGGCTTTCCCCATTGCAGGTAACCAGCTGTGACCCAAACAACAGGTGACCTGGGGATGTTCAGCATGAGCTGCATGAGATGCTAAAGAAGGACTTTGAGCAGGATATCAGAGGGTACTAGAGAGGTCTATACCACTCACTGACCAGACATAGTCCCTTCTTTGGAGTCTGGGACTATTCAGACTGTGCTCAGGCTAAGGGATTTTTCCAACCATGAGAGTTGGGATTATTACCTAGTACAAAATAAAGACCTCTCTTAATCAACTACCAGTTGGTGAATTCAGTTGAGAATGAGACTTGATAACCTCACACTTAAGAAATCCTTCTCTTGTGTGATGTCCTGTGCGAAGATAAAGAGCATTTTGCCAAAGTTTCCAAAATAGTAAAGTGGTCTGGATTGGGCTGTACTGTGAGTGGACATGATTCATACTTGTAACTGGTGCACAGAATCATAGAATCATAGACTGGCCCAGGCTGGAAGGGACCTTAGAGATCATTTAATCCAACCTTCCCGTCATGGGCAGGGACGCCTCTCAGCTAGATCAGGCAACACATGGGGACCGATCGGGGATTGAACCCGCGACCTTGGTGTTATCAGCACCACGCTCTAAGCGACTGAGCTAACCGGCCCTCCAGTTAAATCTCTTCATCAGTGGTCTGCAGTGAGACTCACTGAGTAGAGGGATAACGAAGCATATACCGTCGATTATGAATGATAGATTTCATTAAAGTACTCGTTCCAAGAAAATTGAGTTGAGAGTTCACCTCTGGAGGAATCTTGCTGGACAAATCTGCGTTGCATGGAACATATTTATCTCACACCTCCTGGCCGTGCCTTATGATTGTGACTGAATAATGAGGCTTCACAGCCTAGTTCCTGTCCCTTTATTCCCTCTCCTTTGTCCAAAGTCACGGACTGTTTTCTGCTATGTTAAACAGTTTCACAAGAAGAGATGGTCCTGCACATGATGACTTTGTGGCTAACAAACACTTTAGGAGTATGTGAGAGATGTGACAGAGGGAAAAAAAGGAACCTAGGTTGTCTAAAGCCTGGCAGGTGTTCTTACTGCTAGGCTACCTAGTAAAAGGGGTGGCCGAAGGAGAGCGAGGACTTCTCATGTGCCAGTAAAGTGTCAACAAGGTTTTGGGTTATTGGCTCCCTGCAGCAAGGTAGGAAACCTCCAGGGATTCCAAATGGGATATTGCACCCGCAGAATTTCCCTTTGAAGGCTAGAGAAAAGGCAGCTAGCTGTCTGCTGTAGAGCACTGGAAAGTCCTTTGTAGCTTTGCTGCCACCAAAGTTAGCTGATTGATGTGATAAGCATGCTGGGGGCCAGTTTTGACTTTGCTTTGATTTGAATTTTTCTTTCTTGCAGTTTGACCAAGACAGATGTTTGTTGAGTGATTTATGAATGTTCTTTAGCAGAAATATTTTTTTTCTGCTGATATTATTTATTTTTTTTAGAAGTTAGCACTTTGACCAGCTTTGTCTGTCAAGTTACGAGCCTTGCTTTATCTTCTGATGCTCAACCTAAGTAGACTTGTTGGTCAGGTTAGGGGAAAAAAGAGGAAAGACGACCATCAGCATATATTATCATATATTTGTAGGCATGTATCACCTGGGTAGCATTCAAACAGTTGGGTTGATTGCCTCTGGCAGACCCAAATAAGACCTGGTGGCTCTTAGCTCTGAGGTTTTTTTGAAGCTCCAGAAATTCACTTACAGGGCGGTGCATGGCTTTAGTGCAGACCTGGAACAGTGGCGGCACTTTGGGAGGTGAGTGGAAAGTTAGATGGGGAAATTGCTGTTTCTGAATTTACTTGTTTCAGGAAAAGGCCTTTTTATTTCCTCTGAGGTGATTGCTGCAGCAAATGCTGCAACCAGAGTCTTCCAGACATCTATGCAGACTGGAAAATCCATGAGACCTGCCATCTAAAACTTAATCATTAACATATTTCAAATACTCAAGACTGCCTTTGAACTCCTTTGGAATGTTGCATCTCCCAACAGCAAGTTACAAATATCTTCAAATACGTTATGAATTTTGCTTGGAGAAATGTGTAGTAAAGGAGGGGATTTTTTTTAATGAAGGGATTTTTAAAACAAGAAAACTCTTTGTGAGGAATCCATCACAAATGTTCACACTTGGGAGTGAAAGAAGAGCACTGTGAGTGCTCAGGAATGAGATTAGGTTAGACAGTTTTTCACTAATACTTTTATTTTCAGTGACAGCTTTCAAACTTTCACTAGATGAAGTATATAACCTTGAAGTTAAATGGCAGTTTCCTAGTCACAGGACGGACCTAATGAGGGAGTTGTTACCCAGATAAAACCTTCCTTCATATTGCTGTCATTGCTGTTTTCTTCCACGTGCATGATATGAGGGTTTCTACCAGCACAACTAGCCTTTGCCTCCGAGTACTCTGTTTTTGCCGTATCTTGAAGAAACTGCCAGCATGAAATCTGTGAGGAGTTGCTAGTGTGAGTGAACCTTTGAACGGATTGGTATTTGTACCGTGTGAATTGAATGAATTAATCTCTGCAGTGCTCTGGAGGCTACAGGATAAGAGAGTTTCTGTTCATCTTAAGTATCACACTTTAAATCTCATTGATGTTCTTACGCTCAACTTGTCAGAGGGGTATTTATGTATGACACTACTTTCTTTCTAAATACTTATAAAAGTAGCCTAGAAGACGAAGGTTTGGATTAACTTTCTTTCAGATAGGAGCATTTTCAGTTTTGAAACCATTCCAGTAATGTCTGAACATGGTTCAGTGCCAATTAACTGAAAGCTAATATTTTTGCCAGTGGAGAGAAGATTATAAGTGCTGTAAAATATGTAATTGAAGATGGTTAATGCCGCAGTATTGCCTCACATCATCCTGCTATAAACATTATGAGTGGTACCTCACTGGTGTTCATGTCAAACATGTTTGTGTACTCACTCCAGCCCTGGGGCAAAAAAAAAGCCTAACAAACTAATTTCTCTAAGAATTTACACCACGTGAGGTTTTGATTCTTTTTTCCATGCACTTCTGTTGGTTCTTCTTTGCTAAGCCAGTAATGGTTTCAAAAGATAGGAAGATATTCTGTATGTCTTCTGGTTTTGGGGGAGGAAAAAGGAGTAGGGGAGAGGGTGTTTTCATATTTATTCTCCTCTTGGTTTCTCTTTTATCTTCTGTGGCATCTTGATCCTGTCTTCTAATTTACCTGTATCTGAAAAGAAAAACCAGAAGCCCAGCAATCCTTTGACGTATGTTTGGGAAAATGTAGAATCATCTTTGTCAAGAAAACTCTTTGGAAATGGATGTAAATTATGGATGAGTATCTGTATCCAGCTTATCTGCCTGACACAAGTGCACTCCCTAAAACCAAGAATGAAGTGCTGGAATCTGCTAAGTGAATTTCCAGCTCCTTGGGGATGATGCTTTTCATTACTAAACACTGTGTTTGATGTCACCTGTTGAAGGCTTAATAAAATTTCTTATGATCGTTGTCCTGGTGTCTAATAACAAGTGAAGTTTGGTGCAATAGATGTGTAAAGTGTGTTTGACCCTCCACTGTCCTTTTAGTTCTCATGAAACTTGAAAAACTTAATTCTCCTTGAAAATTTGTTTTTTTCATGTCATGTTTAGGTGAAATTAGTCAGTTTTTTCAGAGGGCTAACGGGAGGCCAGGGAAAACAGACACATGAGCACAATGCTTGGTAACAAAAATGTAGAAAACCAAACTAAAATTTTGCTGCAAATTCTGTTCATGTGATAGGATGTGGTGGTTTGGCAGTGCTATAAGAAATCATGTGTTGAACTGTAAAGTATATAAACCTGGTTTCCTAGAGTTAATCTCTTGTACCTTTTGCAGGTGGAGATTTACATTTTACCTTTATATATTTACCTATGGAGTACGGTTCCTGAAAAAGGTAGGCACTTGTATTATTACATTTTCACAACACATCACAGATTTCTCTGAAGTCTCATATAGGTATAATATAAAGCAGAGGCACAAAACTTATGTTAATGAAGAATAAAAATTAAAATTTTATTTGTATTCATAAAATGAGTTGCTACTGGCATTGGTGAGGAATATATGTTCTTGTCAATATTTAATGGGGTCAAAAAATACATGGGTATAGCAACAAGCCTACTTCACTTCATTACGTTTCATTATAGACGTTAAGCAGGCAGAAAGGCTCATAGAATATTTGTCTCAATTTTCTGCATCATCCTTGTTGAAATGCGTCTGGCAGAGGTTGGTTTTTATTGACAAACAAAATCCATTAGTGTTTTATAAAATGTTACTTTTTTTCCTGTTCTGTGTCTGATGTACTGTGCAAAGAAGTTTCCATGGAGTTTTCCCATCAATGCTGTGTTTCTCATGATATAAGCAGAGAAGGTTATTAATAGCTTTGAAATGCCCTTGCATAGGTCTATTAACTGCCATAGACAGTAATCTGGATTTATAGTGCAAATTGCTTTTACAGTGTGACTAGTTCTCAAAGCTTTTGTGCAAGTCAAGCCATATTTGTGTAATTCTAAGATGTGAAATTATGCAAATGTGTGGTCTTGGTGCTTTCATGCAATCTTTTCTTTGTTTTGTTTTGGACAAAAAATTGACAAAAGAAAATATATCCTAAATCTTTCTGGCTCTTTTTAAATAGAAGTAACTAAAAAAAAAAAAAGCTAACTCTGCTCATTTCTATGGTTATAATTCTTGAGGGTGTCCTAGGTGCCTGGCAGCTTGGTGCCACCAAGGCTGGTGGTGTCTGTGGTGAGAGGGGACACCGATGCTGTCTCAGCTATTTGTCAGTGGTCAGCCCTAGAGGAGATGTGTGCACCAGTCTCCAAATGGACCAGGGCAGACGTAAAGTGAAGCCTCTCTCTGCCTCCGCGAACACTTACACATTTTGTGTACGTCACCCATTAGCATGTTGTATGGTAGTGATCTGGTGCTTGGTTTTCTGCCTTTGATTCTGTCTGTGGTACGAAATTACAAGAACAGTTTCAATACGCACTTGTCGCAACCTAAAAGGTTACTTGGCCTATGAATGTGGCTGTGGGTTCATAGGATTCTGTAATGCACAAGAACAAGAAGGCTTTATCCTTTGAATTTCTCTATATTATTGCAGATTACCACAAATACCACAAAAATCACCATTAGCAAGTATCACAAAATGACTACTAGAAATATACTCCTGATTAATAAAGCGAATCCTTCTTAGCACAAAGAAAGTGTCTGTTCTAGGAAAAACTCTGAATACTAGCACTGCTAAAGACTAAGAATAATACAGTAAACGCACACTTCATTACAAGCCGTTCTAAAGACTGAGCTGCCACACGAGGTACAGGACATCTTCTCCCAGTTCGGCGTGTCAGTGCGCTTTAAGTAGGGCTGGCTGACATAGCATGGTTGGCAGAACAAGATAAACCATTACTTGCTTAACAAGGATTGGTTATGGGATTTTGTTATAATTTTAACTTTGAACATGTTTAAGTTTTACAAAGATAACTTGTTTATTTTGTAATTGCCTATTTTTAATTACTCGTTTTTACACAGTGTTGTAAATAAATCTTGTAACTATTTGTGCTATTGTCATTATTCCAGTGTTCTGCTTGGACTACTCAGGACTTCAACATGGGAATGTATCTAAATTAACAAAATTATGATTCTGATTGCATTTATATTTACACCATATCCCTAGTAACATTGGGTAACTGAAAGTCCAGGCTTTTTGCTGTTCATCAAACACCAAAGATTTTGGTGGGTCCACTTAGGGTTTGCATGAAATAAAATCCAGAGCCCAAAATCTGGAGGGAGACACTTCTTTCAGAGCTAGTGAAAAAAGTTAAGCATAATTAATTCTCTTACAAATTTGATAGAAACATTTTATTTTTTTTCAAAAAGCTGTTTTGCCGGAGAGAAAACTAGTTTCATAGTCAGCGGCATCTTGCTGCGCTAGTGCTACAGTAGATCCTCTCAGATTACAGGGTCTACTTAAGACAATCCCTAAGATACCTAGTTTGGAAGACAAGATAAGCATGATGAGTGAGCCCAGGTACAGTGGCAGCCCCTGCTACCATCAGAGCCTCACTGGAAGAGGGTGAGATAGAGTAAATACTACAGACGTTCCTCTTTTGAAGAAAGGAATATGCTGCCAGCATAACACCACATTGGAAATACTCATTCTGACTTTGTCATGGTTTAACACCTACTGGAAACTAAGCACCACGCAGCCTCTTGCTCACTTCTCCACCCACAGTGAGATGGGGAGGAGAATCAAAAAAAAATAAAAGAAGTAAATCCTGTGGGTTGAGGCAAGAACAGTTTAATAACTACAGTAAAATAAATTATAATAATAATAATAAGTGTAATGCAAATTAATATAGCAAAAAAAGAGAGAAGTAGAACCCAAGAAAAGACAGGTGATGCGCAGTGCAATTGCTCACCCTCTGCTGCCTGAAGCCCAGCCAGTCTCCGAGCAGCGACTTACCCTCCCGGCCAACTGCCCCAGTTTATTTACTGAACATGCTATCTTATGGTATGGAATATTCCTTTGGCTAGTTCGAGTTAGCTGTCCTGGTCAAAGGGATATCCCAGAAGGCTCTCCCTAAAACACCATGCCCGATGCATTGCCTCCTAGGTCGTTTCTTTGCTGACTCTTGAATTGCCAAGCAGCAAAATACTCTGACTTGTATATTATTTTCCTTCCCTCCTGCCTTGACCTAGTCTCCTTGCAGCCTTTGCCTTGCTGCATAAGTTGCTGACCTAATGGGGTTTTTGTTCAGATTTGCCTCTCTTAAGATTCCCTTCCTTAGTTTGAGGGTGAAATTCACTTTTACCTGCAAGACTGGCATGGAGCCCATCAATTACTTAAGCACCACTTTGAGGTAGTTTTGAGGTCCTTTGCTTTGTGCTGGACTTTTGCCTAGTGGTGAATTTCACCTTTAGGATTCTTTCTGAAAACACCTTTCTCGTAATGCCCACAGCACATGAATCATTGCTCCTCTGTCTTTCACTGTCACCTTCCCTATTGCTGTGTAAAGCAATGTAACTGCGTCAGCGCAGTGTCGGCAGAAGGGTGAACGCCTGTGTTTCCTTGTGCCTACCAGACTGCCCAAGGAAGATCCAGCCAGGATACTCTGGCAAACCACCGTTCTTGCAAAGAGTATCATTAGGTCGTTGTTGCCTTTGTAGCGCTGACAAGCTTATCTGACTTTTGGGGAAGATGTGCCCCAGCTTAATAAGCAGTAGTTAGCAGACTTACGACTCTTGTCTTAGTTCTGAGAGTGTGATACTGTCAGCGTGGCACACATGCGGATGTTAATTTATGTTGAGCATGGTAGTAACTAACAGCATTAAAGTTTTACATTTGCCTGGCTAGAGCCTATTGCCAGGAGAAGGAGGCCTGGGGTTTTGGCTTTGATTTTCACTTTTGTGCAAAAGCACATGGAAGTTAATAAAGCTGTCATTCAGAGCAACTGTAGCTCGTTCAAAAGTACTTTGGCAAGCTTGTCCATGACTACAGTTAATGGCTGATCTAGATAAAAGAAATCTCTGCACCCAGTAAAGCAGTCTGTAAGTCTTTGCACTAACAACGGCACGTGGGATGATATATCAATTCTTTTGCCATGCTACAATTGCTGAGTGCATTGCTGGAGATTTAAAAACTTTCTTCTCACTGAAAAGTGTGTCTCTATCAAACTGTTCTCTTGGATTTTTGTCTTCTTCCAGTGACAGATGTGTGCTGTTAAGTCATAAATAAAGTAAAAAAATCCTACTTTTGTTGAACAATGTTTTCAAAAAATCTCAGGGAAAAAATGCCTGACATAAAGCTTTGTCTTCAAAGTTTGCTCTGTTGCAACAGAACCTGTATGCCTTAAATAATTTTTTGTCTTAATAGTGTCTGCGGGACCCTTAGATTGGGCCATTTAGCTGAACTCAGGAAGATCCTTTAGGTGGGGAAGGCAGAGGATTTGCTGTAGGTTGTCCTGCATGTGGCTGTCTGTTGTAAGCTGTGGCATCATGGTCAGGTGCTGATATTGTATGTGATTATTTTTCAATGTGAATGCACAAAAACCTCGTGCTTCCACCCTCTCTTCCTCCCTCTATCCATATGGACATCTGCTTTCCACAGGCTCTGGTTCACACATCAGCTGCTTCACAGGCTTCTCCCCGTCTCCTGCCAGCTCCACTGCTGAACTCTCCAGGCAGGAGGCCTTTCTGAGGTTCACACTGGTCTTGTCCTCAATGCCTCCGAACTCCAATGGGCGTATATTGCCGGCTTTGCCTTTGTTGTGGTAACACGTCACTCAGGAACTGACATTGTGTGAATGATTTTCCTTCTTATAATGTGCACTGTTGGTGACATGCACCATACCCAGCGGCTTTGATCGTTCCCTTTCCTTGGGTCTAAAGAAAAGGTAAAAGTGCAGCGGTGTCTGCCCTCTTCAGTCAGAATGTAATTTTACCTGCAGGATGCAGCTGGGTGATTGGTACTAGGTTTGCAATACCCAGAAAATACGTGCCCCTTTGAAGAGTTACAGTAAAGTGACAGAATTAGGTCTTTGGTAAGAGAACAGAGAAGGCAAGGCAGTTGCTTTCCTACTCACAAATGGACCATGGGTAGAGGAAATAGCTCACAACCTTCCAGACATTCAGCAAAACTGTTGTATCACCTCTTGTGTCTTAATATGCATGTGTAAGAGACAGACTTCAGTAATTACTTTTACGGTAGAGTTATTAGTATTTAATTATCATATTAGACATTCCTCCCTTCTCAAGCTCCTCCCTTCTCAAGTCCCTTTAGCCTCCTTTTTTGATTTTTACTCTCCTTTTCTTCAAAATAAGTAAATGAATATTACAGAGCTGCAAGGTTTAGTTTTATTAGAGTTTTTGCTGTCGTTGTCTGATCATGTATGTGCA